GCGGTGGGCGGGGCTGGGGGACGCTGTCCCTTTAAGGCAGCGAAGCCCCGCGCGCATTCCAGCACCCTCCCCTCCCGCCCGCCCGGCGCGTCATCGTTCCGGGAAGCGGATGGCGTCATCCCGTCCTCCCGCAACGGCTGCCGGCGGAGGGGCGGGGACTTTACGAAAGCGTAAAAATAGCAAGGGGAAGGCGGGGCCGGGGCCGCGTCGGCGGTGACGTCCCGGCCGGGCTAACGGCCTTCCCCGCCACGCCCCTCCCTCCGCGCGCCAACGCGCGTGCGCCCGCCCTCGGGCTATTTATAGGCGCTCCCGCCGCTGGGTGAGGTGACGTAATGCGGGGGCCGCCGCCGCTGCGTCGTCGTACGGAGCTGTGCGTGCCGCGTCATGTCACGTGCGTGGCGGTGTTTACAGCGGCCGTTGCCTGGCGACCGGGTGGGGCCGGGCCGGGCCGGCGGGCCCAGGTGAGGAGGCCGCGCCGGCCGCGGGGGGAGAGCGGGGCCTCTGCTCGCCCCCGCTGAGGGCAGGGAGGGTGGGAGAAGAGCCCCGGCCCTGCCCGCACCGTGGCGCTGAGTGCTGCGGGTCCTCACGGCTCCGAGTCGTGGGGGGCCAGCAGCGCTGGCGGGACTGAGAGCTGTCGGAGGGGAGAGAGGCTTCTCTGTGCGGTGCCGTCGGCCTGCCTTTATTTGGCGTTGGCGAGGGAGGCTGCGGCGTTGCTTAATCCCCTCCTGCGAGGGGCTGCGTGGAGGAATAATTCTGCCACGCTGAGGGCAGGAGCAAGGCGTGGGGCTCCTCTTCTTCCCAGCAAAGAAAAGCAATGTGTTACCCTGGGGTATAGTTTCTACGCTCACTGGAACATGGCATTCCCTGTAATTAATTATTACATAAGTGCCACGTCAAGGATGCCATTTGTGTTACAGGCTTTCTGTTAACTGCAGCAGTGACAGCAGTAGCGTGTGTCTAGAATCCTGTCAGGATGCTGTTTCATTTCTGTTACAGTTGCCAAGTCCATCTTTGTCAAGAACAGCCTGAGGATGTTCTGTAGCCTTTGTGGCTGTGTACTTTTTGTGTGAAAGACCAAACTCTAGGAGTGTTTACGCTCCCCTGCAGGAGATGGCCTTGGCTCTTGCCTTTTTTCTGAGAATCAGATCATCCTACATTAAAAAAATGAAACTATTGTAATGATTGTACATTTGAAAGGATATGGGGTCACATGTACAAGCTTTTAATAGTAGTATTTGGTAGAGAAGGTTTATCCATTTATTATTGTGACTCTTTGTCAAAATATATTATAAAGCTTCTGGGTCCTTTTGATCCCTTCTGCGTGTGGCTTTTTTGAGAAATTGTGCATAGAAGTCAGTAACTGTATGTCTGTCTCACAAAGCTGTTGCTTTCTGTAGACAGACCAGGCAGAAAATCGATCTTTATCTTGGGATGGCATCTTCTCAGATTGTTTGAGCCTGAGGAAAATGTGGGTTCCAAACAAGGAACTTGAACTTACACCATCAGCAAGTAGCTTCTGGTCAGCTGGTGACTGTAAGAAGGTAACAGACCTTGAAAAATTCACCAAGAGTTATGCAATAAGTACCAAATAAAGGTCTCTGTAAAGAGCTGTGAAGTAGGTTAAAATTGCCTGAAGGCAAAATGAGTGTGTCAGTTTCTGTTCTCATATGGCTGCTGTGTCCGCATCAGAGTGCACAAGCTCTTAAACTCATCTTTTTTTGTATTTGAAAGATAAAGGTGTTGAACTAAACCTAGACTAATGTAAACTAATTGGAATTAATCTAGACTAACCTGAACTCAATCTAAAAATGGGAATATTTCCAGTCCATAATTTAACATAGTCGTTCACTTGAGATTATTTCCAAATGGTTTTGGATAGGCTTAGCTGAAGTCTTGACTGGAAAACTGAAGAAAGTAGAGATTCAGCCATTTGTGTGTGGCACTGCAATAGAAAAGGTAATTGAATAGTTCCTCTCAGTCCTTCTTTTTCAGTCTTTCATTGTGATAAAGTGGCCTGTGTTTGCAGAGGTTGCATATCCGATTTGAAGGGCTCTGTGGAGTGCATGGTTAAGCACAAACTTAAGCTAAATACTGCTGTCATAGAGCATTCCAAGGGAAAGTGGTATGGTCACTAAAGAGGGGCTGTGCCTTTTATTAGATCAAATCGTACAGAGGAAGAGAGAAGTGAACAAACTTTCAGGAATACAAGCTTTTTTCCTTCGGCTGTTTTAAAAAAGAATTTCCAGGAACCTGTATCAACAAACTTGTGCTGTTCCTAAAATCAGGATGATAAAGCTGTTCATATCAAAAACCTGGATTACTTCATTGGCTGCTAGAAATTTAATAGCTGCTACTTTTCCACTAACTCGTTTCTGATTACATGCTACTATGATCACACCTGTCAAACTGAGTGGTGTTTTGACCAATATACATGTAGTTGCACAATTAATTGCTCTAAATGCAACAAAACAGCCCCAGGATATATTGTCAGTTCTGGAGATAACACTCCATCCCCTCTGAAGGGGACTTTTACAATGCTTACTGCACTGTGGTAAGGATGACTGTATGCTGACAAGAAGACAGTCCCGGATGAGCTACCAGAATACCCTTGCAAAGCTTACTGTAACTCTCAAAAAAAGGAAAGAAAAAAAATCTGTACTGATTGTACATCTCTTCCTGTGATGTACCACCCTATACTAGAACCTCCCTGGAAAATAGTTGAATAATCCCCTTATCCTGAAAAAAATCCTGTGCTTTGAAATGAAGCTTTCCCAGAATTTTCCATTTGCCCTTGGTAGCTCTCAGGTGGTGCTCTGTCAGAAACCTTCCTGGAAGTTGGTGAGTACTGAGCAGAATCAGACTACGTATGAGTTTTGCATAATAAATGCCCTCTACAGCGTAGTTCTGCTATCTGTGGATCCTGCTCATTTCCATCCCAGAATGTGGTGTACTGGCTCAATATACTCAATGTCCTCATGGAAGTTCCTTGGGATGAGCCCAAACAGCTTCCAGGAGTTAGAGTGGGTCTCACAAGCTGAATGGCCAGTCAGCAGCTGGAGAGTATTTTCGCAGAGCGGTCCAAGTGGACTGGTGGAATGCCTCCAAAACATAAGCCCAAAGCTTAACTTTTCAAACCCGGGTGGACACTTAAAAACTGTGTTTTCAACAGGAACATAAATTTGGTACTTAATTTTGACGTTATTCTTCCTGTCAGCCATTTGCTTTCCCACAGGCAATAACTAGCAGCTGTTCTTTAAGTTCCATGATGATTAAGCCCCCGCCTCACTTCTAAGTGCTAATTACTCTTTTCTCTAAAAACATCTAATTTTTTAATGTGTTCGGGGTATTTTAATTCTTGTGAGACTTACGAGGTCCACAATCTTTTAACAACTTAGATGTATTGATCTGATTTTAAAAAAAGATACATATTTCTATTGCCTTCTGTGTCCTTGCCTTCTATGTTTGGAAGCCATTTTCAAGGCAGACTGGAAGGAGTTTCTGGTTGAAGTTAAGAAAGAGGCATGTATTCTCTGACTCAACAGGGCTCTTTGTTTTCAAGCAATAGAAATAAAGAGGATCTCTTTTGAGTTTCCTTTAATTATGAGCCTGAGGGTAGAGGGAAAGGAGGAGTGATTTTTGTTTCTCAATATGATGTTTGTGATTTAGTTCTTCCTGGAGGAGTTGCTGTTTTGTTGCTAAATTATAATTGCACCTTTCCTGTGGCTATGGAGAAGATTTGGCTGGGTTACACTTCTGATTTGTGGCTGTCTTCCTTTTTATGTGGGAGCTCTCCAAAAAGGTAAATGGGAGTTATATCTGTGACTTAAACGTCCTACTTTTTCTCCTTCACAATCATAAGGATTTCCTCTCGGTATGAACCAGAGCTGAATGTCAAGTCAGTTCTTGCAGTCTGGCTTTTTCATTCTAGAGAAAACATGATACATTTGAAATGTATTTGAAATACCATTTTCTCATTAGATCGTTAGGTTATGCAAGGTGGAGGATGGCAGTTACCCTTAAAGCTATTTATTACATTGTGGTTGTGAATCTAATGAGGGAGGATGGGATTCAAGAAGGGACATGATAAAAGTTTTTGTAGAAGTGAGTATAGTCTGGATGGTGAAGGTATATGAGAAAATTAATGTTTAAAAAAAGTTTACAAATCCCTTAGTGTGTACAGTTCTGCTGTTACTTCTGAACACTCCTCGATCAAGCGTAGGCACTAAGTCAGTATCCTGTAGCTTTCTGCTTTGTGGGTCTCTCCTTTTTTTCTAGAAGCACCAAAGTCAACAACTCATGTCTTTTTGAGAAACAAAATTATTTTGTTTGATTCCTTAGGTAATAACTTCCTTTCTCTGAGCAAGTGAAAGTAGAATTATCAGTGATCCTGAGCATTTTTATTTTCAGGTAGAAAAGAGTAGTTAAGATGTGAGCAAGAAACAGGAAATAAACAGTCTACCACTGGGTGCTTTAGGTAAGTTGTTTAATGCTTTTTGACAAATAGAGATCATACGTTTTGTACCTCACAGAAACGTAGTGAACATATTTTACTGTTACATATTCACTGTTTATCGTGTGAATACATAAGTAGAAATTGCACATTAAAGGCCTTACCTGTTTCTTTTGACCTTTTACTACTTTCTGTCGAACAGTTATTGGAGCATCTATATTAACTGAAGCAATACTGGTATTCATTAAATCTGCTGTAGTCTAGTAGTGTTAAAAGTCAATTTATTCCATTTGTGACATTTGTTACATTACTGAAAATTTGAATAACTTATATTAAAAAAGTCTGTCTTTTATTTCTGTCCTCAAATCCTGGTAAGATTTCACAGCATTCAGCTCTAACAAATTCTGTGATAGTTACCTGTGAATTTATCATAAACTTTAATTCATATCATAATGTTATCATAGCTTTTCATTTAACGTTAAACTGTTTCATAAATCTATTCATTTCTAATTGACATTTTGTCAACTAGTCCATTCACAGGGTCACTGCAGGATTGTTACCTGGTAGTGTTTATCATGACACAATGAATTACAGAATTTATCAACTTTGTGTTGTTGCTACCGCTGTTTACAACCAGTGCAACTCGAAAGTTTACATTACATGTGACTCACAAAGTTCAGAAGTAGATTAAGCCCTATTGCTGTGTTCTCCCTTCTAATCCTTCCTGCCCTCGCCTCCCTTCCCACCCCCAAATCAAAGTTTCCAAGACTGTAAAGTCGAAATGTTTCACATAAATCTTCTTGATGCAGCTCAGGCTCTTTGAAACTTTTGTTCTATTCTGTTTGTTTCTTCCAAAACTTCCTGCCACTTCTGCCATATCCACTGATTCTTTTTTTGTTTGTTTGCTTGTGCATGATACTTGCCTTTATTTAGGACTGCCAGCGTTCTGGAACTCTGGCTTTCAACTGTTATTAAGAAATAAGAATAATTTGATGACTTTATTAAATTTGCAAAGAAACAACTGTAATATGCTGTAAATCACAATGCAAAATATAGTTTGCAAAGCAGGAACAGTTGTGTTAAAGAAGTTTTTAAAAGTTAAAAAAACCCACATTATTTTCCCCAAGGGTTCCTGTTTTTATGACTGCTTAGATTCATACATTCTTTGGAACTTGTCTTTTGCTTTGGAATGCCTTACTAGATGCGAGAAGTTGAAAATGGACTCGGTAGATCATGACTACCATTTTGAAACTTCCATAAACAACAGGGCACTGTGTGCTGTAGAACATTTATCTTAGGTGAGCACAATGCTTAGAAGTCCTTTATTACTTATTTGGTTGAAGCAAAACTATGCATGAGCACATGTTGAGGCAATATATTTAAACATTATCAGCTGAAATGCACCCTACAACTTATACTAGAGGAGAGAATTGTTGCTTTGTGAGAATTTAATCTTTCATTTCTTTGACTTTTCTGCATGTTTAAATCTATTATATTTTTTTTTACTGAATGATTCTGAGATGGTATCTTCTTTCTGCCCCACATTTAAAAGTAATGCAAACAGGATAAAGCTGATTTCCAAATGGTCCTGTCCCTGCTGCGCTCAGTGGCAGTTTTCACTAACTGAAGTGATGCAGGGCTGGGTGTGTAGGTTTTTGGATGGGAGAGTTTGCTTGTTCTTGGTTTCCTTTCTTCATATGGATTGATGTATGACCAAAACCCATCGTCTCGGCTGCTAAAACACACAACATACACAATGTTAAAAGTGAAGATCCCTTAAAAATTTGTTTTGTTCCCATTCAGTAACTACTTTTAAGATTATTTCAATATCATGATTTTGTTTGTAGTCTGCTCCTTTTCCCCTAGTATCAGGTATGTAAATTGTATTTCTGGTCATTGATTTGTGTTTGAACTCAGATAACTTCTTATATCTTTGTTGTTTTAAGCAAGGTTTTCCAGGCTTTCTAATTTTGCGTACTTTCTGGAACTGAGAGATATCCCACAAAAGCTTGGTTCCTCTCTCCTCTCAGTAAAATCACTAAATTATTTTTGAAAATGCATTTTAATGATACAACATGCCTAATTCTAAGTTGGGGGTTTTTTTAAGCTTTTAAATTTGATTTATGTTATAAATAATGAAATGTTTTTTAAGGACTGAGTTGCATACTGCTTGAATGCTATTCAAGACTCTACTGAGAATTTATTTTTATTTCATTTTCACCTAATCTATCACTGTTCACGTTTTAGAAAAATGAATCACAATAATTTGTCATGGTAGCTTATGTCCTAGAGCCCTTTGTAATCCGGAAAAAATAATGATTTTTAATCTTTGTGCTATACTAAACACAGTACTTAAAGATAAGACTGGTTTTGCTTTAACTTTTGTAATTCGGATTGCTTTTAATAACTGTGATTACTGTGTAGTATTCTGCCTGCCTCCTGGGCAGCTAAGCCGACTTTAGTGCAATCTTTGTAAGGGCTTGAAAATGCAGATGAAGAAATCCAGGTTTTATGCTTTTGCTACTTCATAACTGCTGTAGAGTTTTGTTGCTTTGTGATTACTGTTCTGCTGAAAGGCTAAGTTATTTAGCATTGAAAAGAAGCAGTCTTCAGCTGTTGAAAATAAGAGTACATCTGTAATAAAGGTTATTATGATTAATTTTTATGCTTGTTGTCATTTCTTTGAAAAACCATAATTTCAAATCTAAAAAGGCATATGCTTGTTTATTTAATGATCCCTTAGAATATGTTCCTTTGTCACTGAGATCAGTGATAATGGGATGAGCTAAGAATTTATTATTAAAAGGTAAGATTTTTAAGTTCATCGAGAGTTTTATCACTAGTGGGTAATATTCTGCACCTAATAAAGTAGAAATTATCACTCATTTCAGAAGGAATTAGGGTGAGGCTGAATTTGCTGAAAAGGTCTGTTTTCACTCAGACTTGGAATATTAGTATTATCTGTTGACACATGTATTTAAACCAAACTGGTGTGAATACAAACCAGATGTTTCTGGGGAACTTTTTTATAGTACATTTGAACCATAAAACAAGGTGACACATTTTTTTAATCAGTATTCCTGGTTTTGCAATGAGGAAATGTGTATTCTAATTGTTACTTTGCAGATTCTTATCCAGTTACAAATAGCAATCTTGTACAATATTAAGTGCTGCAATGAAAATCTGGATACAAAATAGAATGGCCATCTGCATAAAAGAAAATAAATCATGTTGAGCCAAAGCAAATAAGTTCTTTTAAAATAAATTCCAGCAATCATTTTAAAGACTAGGTTAAATCTCAATTTCCTATCTGTTCTCACTGAGCACAAGAGAGGCTGTCAGCTGGTATTTGACCATGTCTAATGAAGAATTTAGTACCAAAAACCACTTTGATATTGTTTAACCCTTTTTACAACACACAGTTGCACTGATTTGGATGTACCCTGTTATAAAACTTCTGCTGTGCTGTTCATTCTCTTCCTGTAAACCACTGTTCAAGACAAGTGGAAGTAACTTATGTCCCCAGTCTGACAGTTTCTTCTCCCCTCATGAACGTGCTTCACAAGGCCAAGAAAGTGGTGGGGCAGTGCTGTTTTGAGCACTTTCCATACAAGGGTGGCTTAGCTGCGCCCACATAGGTCTGGTATTGGAATGCATAGTGCTGTAGGGGTTGATTTATATTATTTCTCATAAGAGGAGCAAGGGAAGTTACTTGGAGTTGGTTTTATTCCCCACCTCCCCATGCCCCGCTTAATGTTTCTCAAAGATGAGCTTGACATGGTTTATTATAGTGCTCTAGCGTTTATAACAAACATTTTATTGTGATGATACTCTTATGAGACTTACAATCTGGACAATTAATTACTATAAACTGTCCCTTTAATCTGTTGTAGAGTTAACTCTTGATTAATTTAGTCACAGGAATTTTGCTGTTAATATGATTGGGAAGATGAGTCTCTAATGGTCTTTGCCTGGTTTTGTAAAATACTTGGATCTATAGAAAACATTTATTTCTCAAAAAATTGGGTTATCATTTTTAAAAAGAATGCAGTAAATTAAAGGAGAGCAGTCTCATAGAGGAGGAAATGTTTTTTATCCTTTCTTTGCAGTCTCCTTTTGTTTTCATTGTATGATACAGTATGTAGAGAACATGCTGAAAGCAACTTGTGTCCTCTTTTTGGGTAGCTTTGGATACCTTTTCTTTAAAGCTTAATGGTTTGCGAAGAAGTCTTAAAACATCTGACAATGGGGATGACCTGAGGTTTTGCAAGTTACACTGGCAATTGTGCTGGTGAAGTATTGCATAACCTTCACATATGACAGCATGTCCTTTGTGCTTATATCTGCTTTCTGAAAAACTCTATTTTAGGATGTTGGATACTAGTTCACTTTCTGATAATTGGCGTTCTGATAATACGGAGTATGAGTTGTACGTAGTGCTTCCCGTGTACAGATGGGTGCAGATTGGAACCAACTTGACAGAGATCAGGTGGGTCCTTTACAGAAACACACTGTGGGTGTCTATGCCATCTAGTCAGGCACATACAGAGATACCCAAGTTCTGAACGAGCTTGTGGGAGCCATACTTCATGGCATAGTGTCCAGTCTGAGTCTTTGATGTGGCACAGTGCTGCTGTGGTTAGTTGAGTTCATGTTGGAACTACGGCTGAGACAATGTATAAAATTTCTGAAACTGGGAAATACTGGTTTAGAGGAGGATAGAGGCAAAGAACATGCTGTGCAATATGCTTATATTGTTCAATTAGGATAAATTTGGTAAGAATGTAAACTGGCCATAAAAGTGTAATAATAACTTGACCCTATGCCCTGAACTATAGGTATGTAACATGTAATACAAAAACGTGGTGAAGCATTTATGTGGTTTTGTAGCTTTGTCAATATGGTTCAGCTGCACAAAGGATACATTCATTTAGCAAACAGTTGAGGCTGCTTTTTGTTTAGGTTTCCTCGTACATTTTTTTTCCTCTGCATGGTGATGTTAACCCCTTGGAGAAGGACAAGAG